TAACCGTTATCTTTCGTACATAATCTCATAAACTGCACTTCTTCCTTCCTCTTATGCTCTAAACTTCTATCTTTCTTTTTAAATATTGTAATAATGAGACATTACATATATTGGTGACACAACAACTACATTATCGAGCCGATTAACGTGCCGTTTATTTGATATTTCAGTTATATCACATATCTCCAGCAAACACTACAACAAAACACAAGAAATACAAGTGTTAATAGTAACACTAAAGTACTATATCACATAAAATGCAAGAAAAAAAAACTAAACGACTTCAAATACTAGAAGATACTAGATGCTATATACTAGATGCTATATGCTTCTCATATTTGCGACATAACATCAATATAATGTTTTAAAATCTAGGAATAAACATACTAAATATATCTAGGAAATTAGAAACCTTTTATGATGTTGGACGGCTTCGCTTGTCACTTTTGCTATGTCAAGCGAAATCTCGTTATCACTTCTAAAATTGCTTGTTATATTCGAGGCTTCGCAGCCGCACTAGTAATACTTGTTCAAGTAGTAATTGCCAAATAGTATAATGATCAGAATAGAATCGTAATCTGTATAGTAATAGAGTAGAGAGTCAGTGAACGTATAACAATAGTGGATAGACAAGAAGAGCAACAACAGTGATCGTATAGTCATCACGCTACTTATTTATTCATTTCCTTTTTGATCATGTGATCTACTTAATAATGGAATCGACCGTGTTGCTCACTGGCGATCTAGTTTAAAACCAGCATCGGCAACGACACTTACTCTTATACAACACCTCACCTTTGAAGCGACCTCCCCTAGGGTCTATATGTATATATTTTTTAGCTTTGGTTCGATGGTTAGGAACACTGTTGGCCTTCTTTTCCTTTTGCCATAAACCCTTCGTTGCACTATTTCTGCTGGCGTAGGAACGTTGAATGAGTCGTACAGGATTTCTTCGGTACTTCCGTTCGGGGACTTTTTAATTCGGTGAAACGACGTCTTAGCTGGTTAATATATCGCTTGTGCTCCCACTTTTGTCTTTGTATCATGGACGTCATTCTGCCAATACGTTTCTTAACGATGTCATTTTGCCAAAATTCTTTCTCGCGTTGATATATCCAGAAAAATCCTTTTTTTCTCTACGTTTGAAATAGGTATTTGTGTAGTTACTCTTTGATGTTCTCGCCTTGCGCTCAGGTAGCAGCTTATTGAAGACGGACTTGATTTTTCTAGCGAACATCAATTCTGCCGGTGACATTCCCGACATTGTGTTTGGATTTGGCGTAATACGGTAAACACTTAAAAACTGTTGAATCATAGGCACGGAGATCCCACGTTAAACCGGCCTTGTGCCACATGATTCCCTCGTGGGGGGTGGGGTGACTAAACACTGTTCAGTCCGAAGACGGGCGACCGGCTGATCGGTTGAACTCTCAGCCTTCCGGCGGGGAGGAACCCAAACGAGGCTACGCCGAAGGGCGGGGTCTCTTTCGGGGAGGTAAACCGACCCTCAACCCGTTTATACGGGTTCAAAGGGCATATTTTTGGCCGAGCCCACCGGCTCGGAGATCCCACGTTAAAGCGGCCTTGTGCCACATGATGCCCTCGTGGGGAGGGTGGTGACTAAATACTGACACGACTCTGAGCCAGGAACGTCAAATCTCGCAAAAATTTCACGCAAGAAATTGATAGTTACTGTGGTAGTCAGTCTCCTGCATTTTAGTACTTCTGGCCATTTCGTAAAGCTATCTAATACTACTAGATAGTACGCTCCATTTATTGGTTCAGCAAAGTCAATATGAATTCTAGTCCATGATCTATCAGTTGTCGGCAAACGTTGAACTTTTATAGGCGGTAACTTTGCTGCCAGAGCGCATCCTCTGCATAATTTTACCACATTTTCTATATCTTTATCCATATTCGGTCAGTAGGTGTAGCATCTTATTAGAGATTTAATCCTAGAAATCCCCAGATGTCCCCTATGAAATTCTTTCAATATTCGTTTTTGTAATGACGCTCGTATAACTACTCTCTCAGTCCACATCAGTACACCATTTGCACACTAAAAATGCATTAGTATTTCCAATAGCATTTTTCCCTGTAGATTTTAATTTATCCTTCATTTTCATTATGAAGCGGTCATTCTCTGCTTTAATTTTTATTTTTTCTAATGTAATTGGCAGCTCTTTCACGTTGCTTATTTCACTTTCGGCCCTAATCGCCGAAATTACTGTGTCTTCCAGTCGTTCACAACATCTTGGTACTAATCGAGACAAATCGTTCGCATGACTCAGTTTATTAGCCGGTAAAAATTTCATCTTGTAATTATAATTTAATAGAATCGTTCCCTAGCTCTGCAGTTTATTCGCCGTATGTGTAGGAACACTTTTTTTTTTTCTTAGATCCACATATTGATAACAACGTTCGAGGGTCCGTTTGAAGAATAAATTCCCGTCCATGTAAGAACTTGTGGAACTTCTTAATTGCAAATATAATAGCCAATGCTCCTTTCTCTATTTGTATTGTGGGGCTCGCCCCTCGTACACAAGATGGACTCGTCCAAAGAATACTTATACTACGAAGAGATAGCGTGACAAAGAGGTCGACACAGGGTGTTCACTCAGAGTTAAGAGACTCCAGAAGGAGAGATAATTAGGGCTTCCATTACAGAGAGTTGTAAATATACTTTTCTAATAACCCGTATTCCTGGACTACTAATCTTAATTTCACTTTTTACTATCTCTTTAATACACATATTTTCCTAATTTTTTTTACTGACGTTGTTTATTTATTTGTACAGGATTCCATCCCCGGAATCCACAATAATTTGAATTCAACTTCTTTCAGCTGCAATTAATGACCTTGAAGCATGCACTATTAGCTTCGTTGATCCGTCGTCATATTTATGTAATACCACCAATCCATGTATCACTTGCATCAGATGCAACGACAATATTCAGGTTAGGACCGAAATGAGTCAGTGATAGCTCTGATGTTAATACTTTCTTAATCTGCTTGAATGCACTTTGACATTTTTCTGTCCAGTTCCACTTGGCATTCTTCTTCTGTAGATTATTTAATGGTGCTCACAACTTCTGCATATTAGGTATGTATGTATGCATGTATGTATGTATGTATGTATATATGTATGTATGCATGTATGAATGATAATAGTCATCAAAACCTAAGAATGCTTCTAGTTTTGCAATATTAGTTGGCGCGGGAACATCCTTTATCGCGCTTGCGCTTGCAGGATCCGGTCGTCTAGCGGTCTCATAAAAAAAATCTACCCTAGATATTTGAGTTTGGGTATGAATAACTGTGACGTCGCTTGGTCCAGGGTTGATCCTGGTCGCGGCGCCGATTGTGACGTCGCCACCCCCCCCCCTGGTCGCAGCGTCGACTCTGTCGTTCGATCTCGTTCACGGCTCCAGTTGTGACGTTTTTGCCGCGGCGTCAGCTGTTCGCTCCTCGCTGCTCCAAGTGTGACGTTCTAACCCTTTGGTTAGATGATTACCAGCCTCGCCGTTCCCAACTCGCTTCCAACACCTGGTTACTAGGGTAACTGCACTGATCTCCGGTCTGTCTACCCACGTTGTGATTAGATCTTAGACAGACGGGATCAAACAGGGATTGGGGCCGTATGCAAGCTGAGTTCGACGGGGTGGCAACACACAAGTAAAAGAAAAAAACTCACGAGGCCAAAATTACTGATAAAAAAGGGTAACAACCTTTTATATCTAATTGTTCGTTACATAAAAATCACTCCTACTTCCCGATCCGTTTTGTGGACTGTGGCACCAAGCTTCTACCATATAACTTAAAGACTTCGAGTTGCCTACTTTCTAGAAATTTGCATGTCGGGGTGTGGTTTGGTTTCGACACTGGGCGCTGATCTATACCAGTCGTTCACGACTGATTCTTCTCGCCGTCAGTGCGCGAATCGACTTCTTCTCTTCGGCTTGAGTTGGACGAGCTTATTCACTTCGGCTTGAGTTGGACGAATTTCTTCACTTCGATTTGGGTTGGACGAATTTTTATTCTTAGGTTTGGTATGGACGAATTTATTCACTTCGACTTGTCTTGGACGAATTTCTCTTCATAGGCTTGGTGTGATTCCAACTCCAACTGCAACTTCTTCTCGCCAAGGTCCGACCTCTTTCCTCTGCCGTCCGGGGCTGAACTGAACTGCCTGTTTGGCCTGCAACTCCAACTTAACTTCTCATCGACTTTCGGGCAATCTTCTTCACTTCGACTTGTGCTGGACGAATTTCTTCACTCCGGATTCTCTTGCCCGCAAAGGGGCGAATGAACCGGGCCCGACGCCCGCGTTCAAGCTCCCTCGCTGTCCACGGTGTAGCTGCAACTCTAACTTCTTTCTTCGGCTTCAGCGCTGCAACTTCTCTGCCTGTCCGGGCCAAACGGACCGGCCCCTTCTTGCCCGCAAGGGGAATGAACAAGGCCCGCCGTCCGCTCTCCAACTGCTCTTGCCGTCTACCCCGCAACTGATTTCTGTCGATTGGGGTCCTGCTTTTATTGACGCCGCAACAAACTGGGGTGGGTCTGTCGGCGCCAGGGTTTTCTTGATAATTCCAAAAGTCGCATGATTTCTGATTTCCCATTATCGCTCTTACTTTCACCCCTACTTCCTCACAGTGCCACTGGGGGGGAGGCGCATACCCATTTCTCCTGGTCTCTCGTATGTCAGGTGACCGTTTTCGACCAATGGGTCCTGGTCGAGCGTCCTTTCCCTTTCGTCGCACATCACGTGATCGCTCTTGGCTAATGAGATTCTGGTCGGGCGTCTCTTTCTCCTTCGTGACGTCTCCAATCGGGCGTGGTCAATCCGGGGCTTTGTTCTGGGGAAGAAACACCTTGTTAAAAAAAAACAAAATCCAATTTGGCCTTTTTCGCACGCACGAAAATGACAATCTCGGCTTTCCTCACATTTGGCCTTTGTCAAAACAACCCGCCGCTAATTAGATGTGACTTCAGGAAGAATTTTTCTCGTCCTGCCAGCGCCCTCTGTGAGCTAAAACAATTGCTTTCATTTCTTTCTTTCGCTCCGGCCTGTTAGCCAAAATCTTAATTATCTGAATTGAAAATATCTTCACCTATCATCGTGGGGGTTCTTATCTTCAACTCTAGAGCTGGTCAGGATCTGTATACAATTCCAGCGGTCACCTCTCATCTCAATGACACCCTTTTTCGATTGTCACTTATTAATATTTTTTTCCCATTGTTCTAAAAATCCCATTTCTCCAACCAAATTGACAAGGAACTCCCACATTCCGCGGACACGAAAGTAGGTCAGGTGTTCTGACCGATATCTGGTATTTTATCAACCGTCCGTCTTGATATCATGTCTTTTCCCTTTCTTTCCCTCTTTTTTTTCCTTCTTCTTCCCTTCGGATCGCCTAAATACAATTAGAGAATTATTCTCAAAACTCAATTATTCTTCGTCTAAATAACTAACAACTGGTTAATAAACCGAATAACAATTAAATCATATTTCTATGAATATCTTTATTTTTAGTTTTTCTAATAATGCAGGGTGCCACAAACTCACATTTTTCTTCATTTATTTTGAAGCCATAATCTTTGATTCTTTCAAACACTTTCTTTAAATCTTCAGCATGTTCTTTTCGGGTTTTGCTTTTTACCAATGTGTCGTTGTGCCTGAGCACAATCCAACCCAGCTAGCATGGTATCCATTATTTGATGGAATATAGCTGGTGCAACCTTTACACCAAAAGGAAGACGGTTGAATTTATATAACCCTCTATGGGTGTTAATAGTTAGTAATTTTGAACAATTTTCGTCCACAAGTATTTGTAAGCATGCGCCTGAGAGGCCCAACTTTGAGAAAAATTTACTCCATTCAATTTTGCAAAAAATTCTTCTTTGACTAGTTAACGGGTAATTATGATGTTTAAAATTTTCGCTTAGTCCTGTCGAAATGTCAGCACAAACTCGTATTCTTTTATTCTGCTTCTTAACGTAGATTGTCTGTGTTGCCCATTCGGAATAATCTATTCTCGACATTACTCCCAATTCCTCCAACCTGTCCAATTCATTGTTGATTGGCTCTACAGCCGCAAAAGGTATATTTCTTTTTTTTATTATTTAAACATAAGCGTTACATTCTCTTTCATGTGAAACGTAGCTTTTACTTTTGTGTATGTACCAAAATCTTAAAAAAAAAAAACTTCTGAAAAAGTCTTTTTTAGTTCACTTTTCATTTTTTTCATTTGTTATTATTCTTATTACAAAACGAGTTAATAGGTACATCCCACAGATCAATAAATAAAATGCATGTATTAACTCTGTTCACATGCATTTTATTTTTTTTGTCCATGTTTTGGATCTGCAACACGCACTCTTGTGTCCTAATTTCCCACACTCAAAGTATTTCTTGTTTCCGAAGAAACAATCCTTCTGAAAATGCTTATCACCACATCCGTGGCAAATATGAGGTACTGAGCAGGATTTATAGTCTTTCTTTATAGTTTTATCAGAAGTTGGAAGACGTTTGTAAATTTTTTCTCTTAGTTGGTTGGACATTGTGAACTTGTGAATTTTCTTTTCTTTAATTCTTGTGGTATCAAGCTTTAAATTCACTGTAACAGTGAAAAATACGTACACACACGCGCGCGCACACACACACACACACACGCGCGCGCGCACACGCACACATACACACACGCGCGCGCGCGCGCGCCTACGCGCACGCGCGCACACACACACATATACACACACACACACACACACACACACACACACGTGCGCGCATGCCGTGTATAGCACAAAAATTGTCCAAATCGTATAAAAGCAAAATTGTTCAATTGTTAGATTAAGCTTTGAAACGTTGTATCTTAGAAATTATTAAATATATCTTAGTGGAATTCGCCGAGGTTTTTATAACACTATTTGACTCTATTCTAGAACATTTAATTACTCTCCAAGCCTAACAAAAGAATCGTGATGAAATCAATCATATACGAAAATGCCATGTTCATCATCGTAGATAAGAAACGGAAGCTCAGGAAGGACTGAAAAAAATCACACACACACACATATATATATATATATATATATATATATATATATATATATATATATATGTGTGTGTGTGTGTGTATAAAGTGTGTGTGAAAAGTGTGTGTATATAAATATAAATAAATATATATATAATTATTTATATATTATATGCGCGGTACTTATGACAAAGCGCTCAATATCAGAGATAGAGCTGACATATTTGGTTGGATTGATACCAAATATATATATATATATTATTCCAGGATTATTTTCCAACTTATTCAAGATGATCTTCGCCCATTCTAACCTTCTAACTTTCTGTCCTGGAGTTACAAGGTGCCTCACGTGTTTAACGCAGGATTTCATTTTCAAGTTTTTTTTTTCACTGCTCTTTGGATTGTCATAAGTGAAACTTCTCTCACACATGCCAAATTTCTTGTCGATTGAGTTAGATCTTTTCTAATTGATCTCTATCTAATTGAGCTCTAAGTTAAAATGATGACCCCCCCTTCTTCCTGTTGTGACCTCCTGATCCAGTTTTCCTCTCTACTGTTCCCACTTTTTAAAACTTATTCACCGATCTCTTGATGGTTCTTCAATGAACTTTGTAGATGGATTCCAGAGAATGAATGTTGCTACCATTACTGAAGGCCTGAATAATCTTTTTCCTTTAAACATTGTTCATTTGGAAAGACGATTTCAAACTGTTCTATTTTTAGCTAAATAACTCAAAGATTTTTCAGTGATTCTTACGACAAACGGTGGCAAGATGGCTAAACGTTTTATCTGAAAACCTAGAAAAAAGAAACTCAATTCGTTTAGTGATTCTTTGGATATTAGGCATTTTGTGAAATGGAGTTAGATACATAATAATTAACATAGGTAGATAGATAGAAAGAAAGACATAGACGTAGATACGTTATATATATATATATATATATATATATATATATATATATATAGAGAGAGAGAGAGAGAGAGAGAGAGACAGACCGACAGACAGACAGACAGACAGATTTACAGAGTGAGTGTCGAGAAAAATCGGCAGACATGTTGACAGACAAGTTGAAATAAAAATCTATATGTAAAATGTTTGTATAAGAAGTGGCAAATGTGAAAAGCGAAATCACAAAAAAAAGAAAGGTAAATTCGCGCATGCGCATTTTTCCCCCAAAGTGAGGGTTGATTCGCTGTTTGACTGTGAGGCACAAACTATTTCTGTTCACGCTTTGTATGAACACCCCCACGCCATTTGAGCACATCAAAAGTCTCGTTAATTTCATGACACTATTTCATACACAAAACATTTACGCACAGAACAAGGAATAAATGTATACAAATATAAATATCTATATAGATATTCAGCTGCAGAGAGAGAGAGAGAGAGAGAGAGGAGAGAGGATGGAAAATTGAATGCGGACATAAGCAAAATGGAACAAATATGAATTGACTAGGATGATGCTTATGAAAATAATGAAATGTTCAATGATGAAGATGTCACACACGCATAGATAGATAGATAGATAGACAGACAGATAGAGAGATAATGAACAGACTGAGATAGATAGATAGACAGACAGATAATGGACAGAGATAGATAGATAGATAATGAACAGACTGAGATAGATAGATAGATAGATAGATAGATAGCTGAAGAGGCTGAGATAGATGCCTTTCTGCAAGAGATTGCATCAGCTGAGATAGATAGATAGATAGATAGATAATGAACAGACTGAGATAGATAGATAGATAGATAGATAGATAGATAGACAGACAGATAATGGACATAGATAGATAGATAGATAGATAGATAGATAGATAGATAGATAGATAGATAGATAGTGTTGTGGTAGGATCCACCTAATTTGCATAGTGGAGTACCGACCATATAAATATGGTTGGTACCGGGAAGAGAGTGAGAGGAATCAAGAGATTCAATCCAGAGACTCTGCCCGACTGCGACTATGTCAACACATTCCCCAGGAACGGTCTTACCAGGAATATACAAAAGACTATATGTAAATATTGTGTACACTTTCTTGTTTCAATACATTTTGTTCTAAGTACATTTTGTGTTGCATTATTATTCCATGCATTAGTCAAGTTTCAACAGATAGATAGATAATGAACAGACTGAGATAGATAGATAGATAGATAGATATAGATAGATAGATAGATGAAGAGGCTGAGATAGATTGATGCCTTTCTGCAAGATTGCACCAGCTGAGATAGATAGATAGATAGATAGATAGATAGATAGATAGATAATGGACATAGATAGATAGATAGATAGATAGATAGATACAGAAATGGCCAGATAGATAGAAACGGACTGAGATAGAAACAAAGAAATAGATTAATAAATCGCTAAGAACATTCGTAGACAGACCGACAGCAAAACAGATAAAATAGGTGGATAAGAACGTACAAAAGAAGATAATTTGGCAGGCATACAGACAAACAATCATGGACACATCTAGGCTGATCGATACATAGATAGATAGATAGATAGATAGATAGATAGATAGATAGATAGATAGATGAACAGACCGAGGTAGGTAGATCGATAATGAAGAGGCCAAGACAGATAATTGTGAATATATATACTGATAGATAAGGAGAGATATAGATTTATCAATATTGCAAATTCAATGCCTCAGATAGTATCGAAATCGAACACAAAATCTCTCTCTTCCAACACACAAGTACACGGACATTTTTCTAGATGAAACAATGTTTTTGAACGCCGTTTTTGTTGGTTTTCTCACTGATTTTTTTCGTGTCCCCACACCACCACCAGTTTTTGTTTTTTTCTGCCATTTTTAATCCGGCATCTTGACTTTATTTCCATAAATAAACTCGCCGGGCCTTTCATGTGCCGACTTCACAAGTTAACAAGATGCAGAAATAAATAAGAATAGAGATAAAAAAAAAATGCTGATAATTTTGCTACCTTACACATAACTACTGCTTTATTTCTCGATCTTTATAAAACCAGTTGTACGTTACTTAAGAATTCCTTCCTTTCTACATTGATTTGTTCTTTCTTTCTTTCTTTCTTTCTTTCTTTTATTATCGATATCTCACAACTTCCTTTCTTTTCTGTCCTTTATTACTCTCTCTTCTTTTCTGTTAACGGCATCTAACAATTTTTCTGTCTTTATTTTCTCTTTCTGTTTGTCGTTTCTTCCTTCTCATTCTAGATCTCTTACAGCTTTTATTCTTTACTTCTTTCTTTCTTTTTTCTTTCTGCTATTATCGATATCTCACAATTTCTTTTCTTTTCTGCTCTTTATTCCTCTCTGTTCATTCCTGTTAACGGCTTCTCACAACTTTTTCTTTTTTTCTTTTTCCTTTCTTTTTGTCGTTTACTGTTCTTTCTTTTTTCCCTTTCTTTCTTTCTTTCTTTCTTTCTTTCTTTCTTTCTTTCTTTCTTTCTTTCTTTCCGTTCTTGATCTCTCACAACTTTTATTATTTCTTTCTTTTTTCTTTACTTCTTTCTCTTCTTTCCTGTTATTATGTCACAACGTTCTTTCTTTCTTTCTTTCTTTCTTTCTTTCTTTCTGTTACTTTTTTTCTTTTAACGATATCTCACAACTTTCTTTTTATCCTTTGCTTCTCTTTCCTCCTTATCGTTCTCGATATCTTACAACGTTTAATCTTTCTTTCTTTCTTTCTTTCTTTCTTTCTTTCTTTCTTTCTTTCTTCTATTATCGATATCTCACAAATTTCTTTCTTTTTTCCCTCTCTCTTTCTTACCCTTTACTTCTCTCGATCCCTCATAACTTTTGTTCCACTATTCCAATTCATCTGCACAACCGACGACGTTTTTTTTTAAATTTTTATTCTTTTCTTTCTTTCTTTCTTTCTTTCTTTCTTTCTTTCTTTCTTTCTTTCTTTCTTCTTGATACCGTTTCTTCTTTAATCTTCTCCCTTTCTTTTTTTTCTTTTTATTATGTTTTCACTTGTTCATTCGAGTACTTCTTTTCTTTCTTCCTTTTTTCGCATTTCAATTTTTTGTTCATTCATTCTGGCATTTTCTTTTCTCTTTCATTTCTTTGTTTTTTCTTTGTCTCTTTGTCTGTTTCTTTCTTTCTTCCCTTCTTTTTTCTTTCTTTATTTGTTTCTTTCTTTCTCAGATCCTTTTTTCCTTTTTCTTTTCTATTTTTCATTTGCCCTCTTTTTCTTTCTTTTCTTCTCTCGTTCATTCGAGTACTTCCTTTCTTTCTTCCTTTCTTTCGCATTTCATTTTTCGTTCTTTCATTCTGACACTTTCTTTTGACTTTCATTACTTTCTTTCTTTCTTTTTCTTTTCTATTTTTCATTTGCCCTCTTTTTCTTTCTTTTCTTCTCTCGTTCAATCTTGTGCTTTCTTTCTTTAAGATCTGGTGTACGTAATTTCATTATTGTTCCTAGTTTAATCTTTTTACAAGTAATTTTCTATGTATACATTTTCCACTTTTTCGAGCGGACTCAATGAATTCCGAGCTTCAATTCCCGCCCCAGCACTTACTTCCCGCCATTTGCCAATAATCCAGTCATAAGCTCATGGGTTTATTTTGTATTTACACTCAGTGCACATGATATAAGCAAAAATTCCCATTCCTTCATCATTATCAAGACGCGAATTTTTTCTTTTAAAAATCGGGGCATGAGTCAGAAAATAAATTAAAACTATGCAAACCTTATCAGCTCAACTAATAAATAAGAAACTTGGATGCGTCATCCACATTTTATGCTTCTATGACTTTCTATCCCGTTTTCTTTTTCTGAGTTTTGTTTAAGAAGGAACCAAAAGAAACGATAGATGAAGACTTGCGGCCATTGTTTTTTTTTTTTAACGATATTAGTATATTGTCTTGCTCTGAGAATGTTATGATCCAATGTATATAGTGTATGGTCTGATTGTGTAAGATCTTTCCAAAGAGTCAAAGAAAATGGTGCAAAAAGGAAACCGGCGCAAAATATTGTGACAAGAAGCAAACATGTGATTTAGCAAAATGCTTTTATCTTATTTCTCCCTTTCGTATCTAGACCCACCCCGCACCCTCAACAATTCCCCCCAAAACAAAACAAAATAAATAAATAAAGCCCGAATCTTTCAGTTAACTTCAGGTTTTTCTCCGGGCTCTTAAGAGATTCGTGATTTCAATTCAGCAGACGGAACTCGAACTACTGCTAAAGTTAAGTCTGAGTGATCCACGTATAAACTTTTTTTTTCACTAATTTCACTCCAAGCAAGGCAACAAAGCCAATAAAAAAGACTCTGAAAAAAAAAAACATTATTAAGAAAAAGAGGACAATAAAAGAACCCGGCTGAAAGAGACAAAAGATGATGGTTGACGTTGCATTTAACCATTTAGTCTGGCACAAGGACACATTGTTATTATTTTTAATTCTTTTTCTTTTACTAATGAAATTAATTAGAAATGACTGGATTGGCTTGACAATCGCTGCACGAGAACAGTGGTTGTTGATAACCAGTATATAATTAGAAGTTAGAATAAAGTTAGAGATTTGTAATCATAACCTATTGAGAAGAGAAAGAAGACGCTCAAGTCTCAGTGGGTCATGCATAAAACTTTCAACCCAAACGAGACGATAAAGCCACTAAAACGGAAGGGGAGTGGGTACCAAAAGTGAAGGAAAAATGATAAAACAGGAAAGAAAGAAACGGATATAGTGTTCCACAGGGTCGAGGTGAGAGAAAATAAAGAATCAGATAGAACTGACGGTTGCATCTAGCAAATTCAATAGTGAAATGATGAGACCTAACTGCCAATCTAGTACTGCGCTTAAATTTTTTAAATTGAGCTACCAAAGAGGAAAACTCACCAAAACAATTTCCAATTTATAGAAAAGGTACTGGGAAGCTACGTTACGACTATGGGAAAGTAATTGATGACGAGCTAACAGGTCAGGACTGATAACATAACAGATTGTTTTGGGATTTTCTCAAGAAATTCTAGATACATAGTAGAAGCACCAGACAAGATGTTGCAATAATATTCAATGAGCAAATGAATGGTAGACTTATAAATGTGCAAGATTGATTCTGGTGATAAAAAATGCCTACTACGACACAGTAAACCAATTTTCCTAACAACAGACTTAGCAATTGATTCGATATGATCGTTCTTTTTTAATTCATAGTTCACGGATATATGAATTACTAATCGTACAATCAATTCACATATGAAAAGGAGACTAGGATCCACAGAGATGTGGTTTTACCAACGAATGCTTAGAATACCATAGACAGAACATGTAAGTAACGTTTAACATAAACAGCGTCATATATGTCGAGTATTCAAACCTAAAAAAAATATTTCCAGGACTAGACATCGACTTATATGGCGGGTATAAAATGCAAAACTTTACCAACGAGTTGTAAACACGTTTGACAGCACCCTTAACAATTACTGTACACCACTTACCGTACTCTCAACAGGCTGCCACAAATATACTCTACTAAAACTTGTATTTGGTGAAGATATTTGGCATATTATCAAAGAATTTAATCTAAAATAATAAAATCAGTATTCTATCAATGCTACAGTACACATCGCGCCCGACAGCTGATACATTAAGTGTAAACACTGACCGATGCGCCGTTTATCTCAGGCGGTCATTCAGACAACTATGGAATGGTATACGTGTCATCTGCGCAATCTCACGAGTGTAATGACAGTTTAATGACATAATGACTGTTTATTTAATATAGACATATCGTATTTTTTTTGCATTGACAATTCAAGTTTTTTTTTATCTTGCCTGTTGGTAGTTTTTAGCGGTCAGTCAGATTCGCTACGTCTGTTATATGTTCCACTTTGATTACTATTTTGATTAATTTGCGGACACATGACTGATTCATCTAATCAGCTATCGCTCTATTCGACAGTCCAAGATCATGAAAAGCGACGACTTGGCTAAGGTTGTTTGGTTTGGTTTGGTTTGGTTTATTTTGTTTAACGACATATCAAGCTCAATGGGTTATTTAATGCCGACATTTTTGGGATCGATTCGTATGAATAGAATATGTATTATTTGGTTTAGATTAGTTTGGTTTATTTTGTTTTACGGCATATCAACCTCAATGGGTTATTTAATGCCGACAAAATTTTTTATTGTTGGTAATATTTTGTTTTGTCAAAAATCTATTTTTGGTAATATATTTCCTTCAAAATTGTATTGCTGGTAATAATTTTTTTCCAAAAAGTATTGCTGGTAATAGTTAACTATCTACTCATAGCTGGGACCCTAACAGGTGCTACCACCCCAGGTCAGGGTGGACTTGGGAACACCAGCAATTAAGAGGTGGTTCCACACTCCTCAAAATCAGAGACCTTGCTGCTGGACTTAGTTTAACGTCTTACCCAGAACGCGGATGTACTTTAACGTCTTACCCGGGACGCGGCTAAGGTTGTAGTATACAGGGAAGTGGAGACATGGAGTAATGGCGAGCCGTTTGGGTTGAAGAATCGGAGGACCAATTTTGAATTCCAGTCAAGTTCATTAGATTCAGTTACATGCTAATGCCCTTGGGAAAGGTATGAGTTTATCTCTTCTCCACCCAGTTATGGGTGCAATAGGACAGACTGGTTCCTATAATAGAAGTTAAATTTTCAAGCCTGAAATATATTTCCAAAACTAAGGATAGACTTATATGGTGGGTATTAAATGTAAACAAGTGGGTCGGTATTCCTAACAATTACTGTACACCACTTACCTGTAACTTCAGCAGGCTGATACAGACATACCCCCCACTAAAACCTGTTTTGGTTGAAGGTATTTGGCATATTAACAAAGAAATTAATATAAAATAATAAAATAGTAACACTGAGGAACTGAGTATTTCATGAGAATTATGTCAGAGAATGCAGGACATTTCCCTAAGACATGAGGAGGAGGCATGAGTCAACGGAGACGTGGTTCTACAGAGAGACGTGAAGAGCAATCAAT